TCTCCCCCGCGGAGCCGCCAGTCAGCACTGCGCAGTCGATGGTACTTGGAGGAGGCCCGCCCTGTGCGATCTTATTGGGGGCTGGGAGGTATGTGGCAGGAGGTGGTCACGGAGATATCCAGGTCTCAGGCCATGTAGGGCGTTAAAGGTAATAACCAACACCTTGAAGCGTGTTCGGAGACCAATGGGGAGCCAGTGCAGCTCACGGAGGATAGGTGTAACGTGGGTGTACCTAGGTACACCACGTGGCTGCATTCTGGACCAGTTGTAGTCTCTGAACACTCTTCAGGGGCAGCCCCATGTAGAGCGCGTTACAGTAGAACCCTGCTCCGACCTCATGGGTCCCCCTCCAGCTGTTCTTTCCTCTGAGTCCCAATTGGTCCCTCCCTTCCAGACAAACCGATGCAGCTGAACCAGTCTCTCTTCATGCTGGGCGGGCGCAGCGGCTACGTCCTGCAGCCGGACATGATGCGCGACGACCTCTTCGACCCCTTTGACAAGGGCAGCCTGAAGCACGTGGAGCCCATCACCGTCCAGTTGCAGGTCAGTCAGCTGGGGACACGCGGGACGCCTCCCTCCACCCCACCCCCCCAGCTGGGCCACTGCTTTTGCAGGTCCCGCCTTGTCCACCTAACCCACCCTGTTCTTCCTCCCTCCAGATCTTGGGGGCCCGGCACCTGCCCAAAAACGGCCGCAGCATTGTTTGTCCGTTTGTGGAGGTGGAGGTGTGCGGCTCGGAGTTCGACAACAGCAAAAACAAGACGGATGTCGTAGGTAGGAAATCGGGAAATCGCGTTGCGTCTTCCGGGTTTGTCTAAACGCAACCAGGGGTGGGATTCAGCTGGTTCAGACGGGTTTGGGGTGAAACGGATGCTAATTTTGCATCTGGTCCACTGAACGGATAGTTGGAAGGACTGGCTGGCTCCTCTTCCACTAACTTTTACCACGTATAAAGATGGAAGAACCAGGCAGAGAACCAGGCATGGCTGATCTAGAGAAGAGAAGGACCAGGGGAGACAAGATAGTAGGCTTCCAATATTTGAGGGGCTGCCACAGAGAGGAGAAAGGGGATCAAGCTATTTTCCAAAGCACCAGACAAGGAATAATGGATGGAAACTGACCAAGGAGAGATTCAACCTGGAAATAAGAAGGGTTTTTGTGACAGAACAATCAGTCGATGGAACAGAAGTTGCCTTCGGAGGTTGTGGGAGCTTCATCTCTGGGGGCTTTCAAGAGGAGACTGGACTGCCATCTGTCAGAAATGGTTCAGGGTCTCCTGCTTGGCGGGGAGGTTGGGCTAGATGACCTACAAGGTCCCTTCCAACTCTGTTAATCTGTAAAGGATATTGAGACTCTAGAAAGAGTGCAGAGAAGAGCAACCAAGATGATTAGAGGACTGGAGGATAAAACATACGATGAACGGTTGCAGGAACTGGGCCTGGCTAGTCTAGTGAAGAGAAGGACCAGGGGAGACAGGAGAGCATCTTCCAATATTTGAGGGGGTCTCTGGGGTTTGTCCCAGAGAGGAGGGGGTCAAGCTATTCTCCAAAGCACCCTTGGCCAGACAAGGAATAATGGGTGGAAACTGACCAAGGAGAGA